TTATCTGGTAGTCTTAATGACATAGCCCTGGATCCAATGACAGTGGCGCTGGCAACCTCGAAGAAAAAAGTCACTATCTTTGGATGCATCTGTAAATTTAGATTTGTAAGTATTTTATGTGTTTCCTAATTCTTTATACTCATGTTGATAGAAAAGTTTATTTGTTTCAAATTTCTTTAGTTTAGTTAAAGTTAGATCCACCTCTTGCTCTACTAACAGTCATGGTCGAGAAAACAAAGTCTAAGTGAGGACCATATTTTCAAGATTTGTTTTAATAGCAGGAGTGTCGAATGTATTCTTTTTTCAAGTCTGTTAAAGGGAGCTTTCTTCTTGAAGAGGTTCTCGTAAAGGGGATTAAAACAGTTATACACTGGATTGGATTAAGTAGAATGCAACTTTAACAGAAATATACTGCAAAGGCAATTTAATGCGTCGTCGTTTAAGGGACGGTGAGGTGAGGTGAAATGAGGTTTAACGTCGCGTCCAAGATTATTGCGACATGCATGAAGTGTGTGTGTGGCTGCTTGTACTAGTCCGGACTGAGGCTGATTTATAGTGCTAGCTCACTGAGATACCATGCCGCAGTTTAACATGAATACCCCACTCAGACACAGTATACTGACTCCGAGCCGACCAGTCCTTGTTTTAGTCCCTTAATGCCGAGCGCCAGACAGGGTCACAACAAATACAATCTTTTAACTCTTATGGTATGACGCGGCCGGGGATCGAACCCCGGACCTTCCGCTCTTCGGGCGGACGCTCTACCACTAGACCACGGAGGCGGTCATTTAAGGGACGGCTCATTAGCCACTAAATAAGACGATGTATGGGCGAACTTCTGAAGGTTTAAATGCAAGGTCCCAGTCCTGGATGGTGAATGGAATGTATAGTGTTTCTAAATTGTTTTTACAAGCATCACAATAAATAATCAAGTTTTGAGCTGATAATTGTTGTGTGTAGTGGAGAAGGAATTTCTTCTTATTCCCTTCCCATTTGAAACAATTCTCAGTAAGTCAATGGTCTTCAGACACTTTTATTGAATGTTAATGTGAGGCAGAAAGGTCAAATGTTGATCGACACTTATACCCAAGATCTTAGCTTCTTTTATAACGTTAATAGGAGTGTTAAGTGACATTAGTTCAGGGTCTTTGTGCGGTTTAAAAAGAATACAGTATTGAAGAATTTAAACTCATTTTCTAATGACCATTTATGGATTTTATTTAAACACAGCTGCAGTTGCCTGGCAATAGTATTCATGTTTTGGCACGACAGGAAATATAAAAATCATCCTCAAAAAGCGATCCATCAATTGAATATACAGAACTTCTGAGAAACTGTTGATCATTATGCTAAATAATGAGACGGACAAAACTCTGCCCTGAGGGATAACCTGATCTGAATAAGTCTCTAATTAATCCCACTTACAGAGCGCAAAAAGATCTGTTACAAGTCCTCTGTTATCTCTAAGCTTGGAGTTAATTATTTCACCGAATATGTATTTCATATTATTTGATTCTCATATATAACCTATTTTACTATATGGGTCTGAGATATGGTTTTGTAAAGAGTCCTATACAATTGAAAAGGTTCATCTGCTCGCTTGTAAAGGTTTTTGAATGCTGGTATGTCAACACCAAGCAATATGGTTTATGGAGAATACGGGAGATTTTCCTTTGTACATTGTATCTTACACTCGTTGCTTGAAGTATTGGTGTAATATAATAATTATGCCTGAACACCGTTGACGTTAAAAGCCTACAACATGCTTGTACGCCTCGATAGTCTTGGAAAGAACACATGGGGTTCTTGTATGCGTACATTGCTTTTTACGTATGGCTGTGGTTTCATTTGGCTGTCCCAGACAATTGGTACCGCACATGTTTTCATTAAGTACTTTCGCATGCGTGCCATTGATATGCTTCATCAGAAATGGCATTCAGATATTTACGAAAGTTCTAGATATGAAACTTATCGTCAGTTCAAGTCATTACTTGAACCAGAATCTTATTTATCAAACTTAGGGTACAGGAATTTTCGTAACAGTATTTTCGTTTTAGACTGAATAATCTAAAAATTAGCACAGGGAGATTTTCATCTGTTGAGAAATCCCTAAGGTAGTGCCCATTCTGTGACAGTGTTGTCGAAGATGAATACCATTTATGTTTATTTGCCCTATATACGAAAATCTAAGAAACAAGTACTTACCGCAGTGGTCTCTATCTCATTTTAATGCTATAACATTGTCTTCATTACTGTCCTACAAGGATCTTCTAACACAAAATCAACTCGCTTTGTACGTACATCATGTGTTTTGTTACGAAGTGAATTGTTACCTTGACTTTGTAGCTTATAAATATGTTATGTAACTCCGTTGTATATAGGCTTATGGCCTTTCACACAATAAAGAATTGAATTAAACTGAATTGCTAAAGAGTCTTGATAAAAACCTGAGAGGGTTGAGACCACGAAATTGCCCGTCAGTTTAAAAAAGGATAAAAAATTAAGGCAAACGGCATCACAATCCAAATCATGTAAATATCTTTTTAAACCACGTTTACGTCTCGTCTAGACAGGAAAGATAGATACTGCATGGTGTTTAGTTGTTATAACATTTTTTACAAATGATTCTAAACGAACTAATTATAAAAGATCGATGGTACTTCTGTTTTTCCGGAAACCACATTGTATATGAGTAATTAGATTTTTGGTTTCTAAGCACCAAACTAATCGATTATTTGTACTGGGTTTGCACACGCAGCTTTGAAGGGTCAATATGATCTCGTTCGGGTTGAGGTTTTGGTTTGGTTTGTTGTCACTCAGCAATATTCCAGCTACATGACGGCGGTCTGTAAATAATCGAGTCTGGACCAGACAATCCAGTGATTGACATCATAAGCATCAATCCATGCAATTGGGATACGATGACATGTATCAACCAAGTCGGCGAGCCCAACCACCAAATCCCGTTAGTCGCCTTTTACGACAAGCATAGTCACCTTTTACAGCAAGCATGGGTTGCTGAAGACCTATTCTACCCCGGAATCTTCACGTTGTCCGGGTTGAGGTATTGGGACAACTGTAGCATCACCCCACGATGAAGGAAAGCAGCATCAGTATCATATATTTAATTATAATCTTCCTTATTATGTTAATCAAATTTAATAGTATTTTTTTTGTAGCTGATTTAAATATATTTGGATTTGTTTTAGCATTGTCCGATGAGGAGTAACGTTTAGCCAGAGTTTCACCAAGTTTATTGGCAATTTTTGAAATCTCTGTAATAATTCATTCCCGTTTGTAAGGTGGTGGATGCTTGATTTAGGACCCAATCTTTAATTTTCTGAATCATGTTCCATACCTTGGACATTGGCATTCGTGAATGAATTTTTGAAACATCTTTCTGCCAAGATTGACGTTTATGGTTTAAAAAAATTAATTATTTGCTGCATTTCATATTATTTTTACAAAACAGAAAACAATCACTTCCATGTTACAAAATAGTATAGGGCATGATGATCAATATTCATAGAATCTGTCAAATTCCCGCTCATAAGTGCTGTACATTTGGAAATGAAGTAATACTGCTTCAGTTTATTCTTAAAGACCTGGAACGATCATGGACTATACCTTGTGTATTTACGGGAGTATTATATAAACTGTCCAATTCGGATTGGAACATTTGCGTGAAGACATACAGGTACATAGAATTTGCATAACATAGTTTACCAAGGAGCAAAGCATCTGTTGATCAATGTATCCTTGCATGGATATTACACCAATTGGATCAATAGGTATACTTAATAAAACCCTTGATTTTCCAACAAAAATACTGTTGAGTGGTTTCTAGCATAGATTCTCCTATAAATTACATCTTTATAAACAACAGGGCATGCCAACTCTATGTCAGGTGCGCACAGCGGCTGTTGTATTAAGTACAAACTAGAATCATGATTTACATTATCGACGTTCTCAATTATTCACAAACTAACCTCGTTCTTTCTACAGATGATTTAACATTACTTCTGCACACTCCAGCATAAACAACTGTTTTTTTAACGGGAAAATATATATTACCAATGTACAGATGTTTAGGTGACACTGCCTTGTTATTGCATCCGAATATTGATTTCATTGTATCTCAGCTGCATAATTTTGTGCAACGTTAAGGGGACAACTGAGTAAGGCCGTGTCATCTGCTGACACTATTCCTGGATATTGTCCTGGATATTGTCCTCGATATTGTCCTGGATATTGTCCACAACATGGGTTACTGGTTTGTTTGTGGTTTAACGCCGCACTCAGCATATATTCCAGCTATATGACGGCGGTCTGTAAATAATCGAGTCTTGACCAGACAATCCAGTGATTGATATCATGAGCATCGATCCACGCAGTTAGAATACGATGACATGTATCAACCAAGTCAGCGAGCCTGACCACCCGATCCTGTTAGTCGTCTCTTACGACAAGATTCCACAATATGATTTATAAATACTACTTTCATTTTTCCTGCTATAATAATAATGTGAGAGCTATCGTATGGCAGAGTAAGTGAGTATGGTTTTGCGCTCCTTTTTGCTATATTCCAGCGATAATACGACGAGAGACAACAGAAAGGTGTATTCACACACTGAACCCATGTGGGGAATCGAACCCGGGTCTTTGTCGTAATTTTGTTTTTGTTTTTTGTTTTCTGCTTGACGCCGCACTAAGCAATAATCAAGATATATGACGGCAGTCTGTAAAATTTGTAAATAATCGAGTCTGGACCAGACAATCCAGGAGTTGATATCCTGATCATCGATCTACACAGTTGGAATACGATGACATGCATCAAACCAAGTCAGCGAGCCTGATCACCCGATCCCGATCCCGATCCCGTTATTCGTCTCTTACGACAAGCATGGGTTGCTGTAGACATTTGCGCTGTAACTGTCATTGCGTTTTGAGAAACATATCTATGCGATGCACAGATCTGTGCCACTTGTTTCATGTTTTAGGGAGCGGGAACACGAAGCATCTGCCGGGACTGCCTAGAAGAAGTGTGTATCCCTGTGACTGAGGCACGGAGAGCATTTTGTACTTCCAGAGGTAAATCATCCTCGTCTGTCTGTCTGGCAGGCTATCTATCTATCTATCTATCTATCTATCTATCTATCTATCTATCTATCTATCTATCTGTCTGTCTGTCTGTCTGTCTGTCTGTCACTCTGGCTGTTTGTCTGTCAGGCTATCTATCTATCTATCTCTCTGTCTGTCTGGATGGCTAGCTGTCTGTCTGTCACTCTGTCAGGCTATCTATCTATCTATCTGTCTGTCTGGCTGGCTAGCTGTCTGTCTGCCTGTCACTCTGTCTGTCTGTCTGTCTGTCTTTCAGTCTATCTATCTATCTATCTATCTATCTATCTATCTATCTATCTATCTATCTATCTATCTATCTATCTGTCTGTCTGTCTGTCTGTCTGTCTGTCTGTCACTCTGGCTGTTTGTCTGTCAGGCTATCTATCTATCTATCTCTCTGTCTGTCTGGATGGCTAGCTGTCTGTCTGTCACTCTGTCAGGCTATCTATCTATCTATCTGGCTGGCTGGCTGGCTTGCTGTCTGTCTGTCTGTCTGTCTGTCACTCTGTCTGTCTGTCAGGCTATCTAACTATCTATCTATCTATCTATCTGGCTGGCTGGCTAGCTGTCTATCTGTCTGTCTGTCTGTCTTTCGGGCTATCTATCTATCTATCTATCCGTCTGTCTGTCTGGCTAGCTGTCTGTCTGTCACTTTGTCTGTCTGTCTGTCTGTCAGGCTATCTATCTATCTGGCTGGCTGGCTGGCTAGCTGTCTGTCTGTCTGTCACTCTGTCTGTCTGTCTTTCAGGTTATCTATCTATCTGTCTGTCTGGCTGTCTGTCTGTCTGTCTGTCACTCTGTCTGTCTGTCTTTCAGGCTATCTATCTATCTGTCTGTCTGGTTAGCTGTCTGTCTGTCACTCTGTCTGTCTGTCTTTCATGCTATCTATCTATCTGTCTGTCTGGATGGCTGGCTAGCTGTCTGTCTGTCACTCTGTCTGTCTGTCTGTCAGGCTATCTCTCTATTTATCTGTCTGTCTGTCTGTCTCTCTGTCTGTCAGGCTATCTATTTATCTATCTATCTATCTGGCTGGCTGACTGGCTATCTGTCTGTCTGTCTGGCTATCTGTCTATCTATCTATCTGTTTGTCTGTCTGTCTCTCATAATGTATGTACATATACAAGATGGCCGGGCGATAAATCGCAAAGAACAACGAAGAACGAAACGTGGTTTATTTCACGAAAAAACACACCAGAATTTTATCATGAGATATCTTGAGATTCGTACATGATGACGTCATATATTGAACGACGTTATTTTTGAGAGGGATACAGCTGGGCTACGCAGATAAACGCGGTGGCCGAAATATCGCATTCACAAGTGGGAGACCTATGACAACAATCGGTATTTGGTAAAAAGGTACAGATAATCGACGTAAGGATTGTGAGAATATGCGGGAAATTCCAAACATAACCATCCTGTTCGTAAAATGGAGTTGTCCGACATTCCCGAGGTTGGATTATATTCAGGGAGTCATCATGATTAAAACTTGGGTAACTATTTTTAAAGCTTGAACATTTTATCAACATTCTCAAAAAGACTGAACACAATGAGCACCCCAACATGATCTTCAATCTTGCCGGCTCTTGCGATAGCGTATATGTGTATATATCTAAATTTATGTATATATCTATAGACCTTCTATAAGCGACGGTACATCTTCTATCATTCTCATTTTCAAATATATACTTGAACTGTCAGTGGGATACACTGCGAGTTCTTTGTTGTATATTCGATTCTGCCCAGTTTCGTAGGTCACATTCCTACGTCAACATACCTTATTATTCAAGTAGCCGCATCACCGATCAGTATGGAATACTGTAAGGGACATTTTCGCGATCTCGACCTTTTGAAACGAGCTAAATATACCCAAAACACGAGAATGCGAGATCGCGAGAATGTCCCTTTCAGTATTCCATAGATCATGACTGTCTTCCTGAATATGAGTTCTTCCTTCACGAAAATACTCGGCGATATTCATAATTAACTCGGTAAAGAGTTTAGCAAGAAACGTTGACTGAAATAATAGTGAGTCATGAGTCATGGTTTTCTTCAAACAAAAGCATGGTTACATGAAGACTAACTTTGTTACATACGTCCTTAAGATATGAGGGGGCACCGGTGGCCCAGTCGTCTAAGGCGCCGCGATTTACTGTGCAGAGTTGCGTGCCCAAGGGACGCCAGAAACCTATGATTGTGGGTTCGAATCCTTGTTCGCCCCGATTATGTTTCTAGGTTTGTCAGCACCATACCCGTGCTCGCTGGTTTCACCGAAGTGATAAACGTCCGAGACCTGCATCTCTTCGGGCTTTCCTCCTACATTAAATTGACACGCCGCGATATAACTGGAATACTGTTGAAAGCGGCGTTAAACCCAACCCACTCACAATATCTTCTTTGATAGGCATTCCTACTTGTATACATACTTGCCAACCACACTCTGTAAACCACTTGCTTGATAACGGTGTTAGAACCTACACCGAAACGACGCTCTTAATTGTTATAAAGAAGTTGCTCATCCATAAATTCCTATTCTTACTTATCACTCACAATATGATGAATAAACATATGATCACAGTCACATATGTTTTGTACCGAACACTACGGTTATATCGAACTCAAGGGGACCACTAATTTTAGTTCGTTATATCCGTAAGCATATATACAGCAAATGGACGGGATCAAAATACAATTCGTTATATCCATCAGTTCGTTATAAGCGTGTTCGTTATAAACGTAGTTTACTGTATATATTTTAAGGTGTGTTACTTGGTTCGTATTTTGTGTGATCTCGAAAGCGACAGGATCAGCTTCATATCTAATCTGTGTACCTTCTATACCAACCCAGATCCGTCACAAGTGTCCCTTTCCTCTTCGACAACGTCAACATCAACATCTGCACAAACATCCACTGAACCATCAGTAGTTACATTGGAGGTGACGACTTTCAATGCTTCATCCACACCCGGAACGACAGCTGCACCAACAGCACCACCAACGACATCATCTACTGCAGTTCCAACATCCCAATCTACAACATTCGAGTCGATTACAACAGAAACCTCACCAACAACGCTGCTCAGTATTTCGTCAGCAGCGTCAGCATCCGACACAACTTCAACACCGATACCAACAACTGATACCTCTACTTCAGCAATGCCTACAACAACACAAGGTACCGTCACTCGATTTGACATTTTAAGCTTGAGTCTTGGGGAGAACAACTGAAGGAATAAGTGTGGCCTGTGCGGGTTTCCAGTTGTACAAATCAGCTGCCATATTGTACTGGCAGCTGATTGGCTCAAGACTGGGCGGTCAAAGTTTGCACAGGGTTTGTCCAATCTCATTAAAATCACATCTTAGTTCTCGCTACCGCTAAACAGGACATCCCATTGAGGGTCATGTCAGAACGACCTTTCAACTGACCAATCAGAGCATCGCTTATCAGATCATGAAAGTGACAGTTGGAATCCGATTTTTGATCGTGTAGCCTCGAACAAAAACACATAGGGTATTCCGAACGACAGTTATTGGCTTTATGTCTGTGTTCATACAATCTAGACCATCTATTTGCCATTCCAGAATGTTAATTATGTTCAGTTGTTGTTTTTTTAATCGAGTATATGTCAAAATATGTTTCGAAGCGTAGTCGCCAGTTTGAAACTCGTGCCGTAAAGCTCCATTAAGCTGCCTTCTGATTGGCTATTGTCGACTTCTTGTTATTCATTCCATTGGTCGGTCAAAGTTCGCGAAAGGTCGGTCTGACGTGATGTCCTTAGATCTTTGTTTAGCGATCTGATTTTGATGAGATTGAGGGTTTGTCTGACTTTTATGAAGGTTATTATATTATTATGGGATTGGGAACACCCATGTAACATATCTCTCAGCGATAAGGTGTCTCAAGTGGAACATTACTGAAATGGCTATATAGAACTTGTCTCAGTCAGAGAGGTTTAAGACGTAATCTGACACAGGCCTGGCTAAAGGGAGGTTAAAGAGAAAACATATGATCCTTTCTACACAAGTAACTGATAAATCACTCTATCAGAAATGTTTGAGGTTATTATCCTAATCGGGGGCACGGGTGGCCCAGTCGTCTAAGGCGCCGCGACTTACTGTGCAGAGTTGTGTCCCTTGGGCACGCCAGACACCTTTGATTGTGGGTTTGAATCCCGGTTCGCCCTGATTATGTTTCTAGGTTTGTCAGCACCATACCCTTGCTCGTGGGTTTCACCGAAGTAGTAAACGTCTGAGACCTGCATCACTTCGGGCTTTCCTCCCACATTAAGCTGACACGCCGTGATATAACTGGAATACTGTTAAAAGCGGCGTTAAACCCAACTCACTCACTCACTCACTATTATCCTAATCTAAACGAACAATCAGAAGTGAATGAACCACTTTTAGGGACTGAATGCTAGAGCTACGATAAAGCATATTATTGATTTATGGGGGAATATCCATTTCGTCAGAGTAGCCTTTTTTCGTCTCGGATATTGAAATCAAGAAAACAGAAAAAAACCTTCTACTGGGAATAAAGATTTTCTTTAGAAAATATTGTACTTAAAATGGCCACTTTATGCTTATCTGACAACAAAAGACAAGAGATGTCGAGCTAAATATATTGTTTTTAATGTGTTTTTCCTGTCATATTTTCGCTCAACATATTTTCAGTGTTTTGCATGAAAGTATTTCGCAATAAATTAAATGTTTGTCTATTTTAGGTCCGTGTGCCCTTGATGCAACTCATTTTGCATCCGAGTCAGTTTGCGTGAAAGTGTTTACTCCTAAGCACACATGGCAAGACACTAAGACAGTTTGCGAAGGCGAATCTTTCAATGGCAATACGTACAGGATGATAACATTCAAAACTAAAGAAAAACATGATGAAATAGTTGCATATCTTACTGAGAAATTGACAAGTGAGTATACTACACATTTCTATGTTATGATTCAGTCTTGGAACAGATACGAAATTACTAATTCATACCCCAGGTTCAAACCATTCTAGGGGGCACGGGTGGCCCAGTCGTCTAAGGTGCCGCGATTCGCTGTGCAGAGTTGCGTCCCGTGGACACGCCAGAAACCTATGATTGTGGATTCGAATCCCAGTTGGCCCCGATTATGTTTCTAGGTTTGTCAGCACCATACCCGTGCTCGTGGGTTTCACGGAAGTGATAAACGTCTGAGACCTGCATCACTTCGGGCTTTCCTCCTACATTAAGCTGACACGCCGCCATATAACTGGAATACTGTTAAAAGCGGCGTTAAACACAACTCACTCACTCAAACCATTCTACAGTTGTAAACACATTGTACTCATGTGAGGAATCGAACCCGGGTCTTCGGCGTGACGACCGAACACTTTCACTACAAGGCTACCCCACCGCTCACACAGTAACGAAGATCTTTACCTTGACTGTCAATGATATACAGGCACCACGCTTCATAAATCGATCACAAAGTTGCTATCAATAACAGGCAGCTAATCTTATCTCAACAGTTCCAAGTGAATTGATTTTGCTTGTCACTGGTATAGGGCACGGTACATTGACTTTGTCCTATTGGATTTATTATAAAGTTTCAGTCCAAAACAATCTCATCATATCAGATCTTTTACTCCGATACGATACCTCTTGGCACGTCAGGTGAACTTTCTCTGCAAGACAATCAGCGTCGAGGCTTTTAAATCAATAGTAGTGAGCGAATCGTTCAGACAAGCATATCTGATGTCTGAATCGCGAAAACGATTATGATAATTGAGTTCCAAGTGCAAATATATAAAGCCGCGTTATTCTATTGTTGTGGATTTTTTAATCAATTCACTTGGAACTGTTGAGATAATATTAGCTGCCTGTTATTGATGGCAATTTTGTAATTCATTATGAATAGTGGTGCCTTTTAACCATTGACAATCAAGGTAAAGATCTTCGTTACTGTGTGAGCGGTGGGGTAGCCTTGTAGTGAAAGTGTTCTGTCGTCACGCCGAAGACCCGGGATGGATTCCCCACATGAGTACAATGTGTGAAGCCAATTTCTGGTGTCCCCCGCCGTGATATTGCAGGACAACTGCTATAAGCGGCGTAAAACAATACTCACGTACTCACTCGTAACTGTGAACATGTATGCGTTGGGTGTTTGTTTTGCAGCGGCTGTTGGGATATGGACTGGTTTAACCTATACTTCTGGTTCCTGGCAATGGGAAGATGGCTCTGAGGCACAGTACCTTCCCTGGGAGCCACCAGAGCCGAACACTCTAACAGAGAAGTGTGCTGTGATCTACGAACCTACAGACTGGACAATGCATAATAACTTCTGTGATGTGAAATGGAGTGCTATGTGTGAGGTATCAGCGCGATGAGTCCGTCCGTCTAAATAGCAGCTTTCAATTAATGTTTGGTTATGGTAACTTTACATTTAAAGGGTGGGCATCTATTTAGCAAGACAATAGCTCAAATAACTTAAAATTATCTATCCATCCATCCATCCATCCTATCTATCTTTCAATTCCATCCATCCATCAATCTCACACACACACACACACACACACACACACACACACACACACACACACACACACACACACACACACACACACACACACACACACACACACACACACACAGCAGTTTTTGTTTTTGGTACATAGAGCACACAGTGAAACTAAATCATTATTGTGTTTGGTACATAGAGCACACAGTGAAACTAAATCATTATTGTTTTTGGTACATAGAGCACACAGTGAAACTAAATCATTATTGTTTTTGGTACATAGAGCACACAGTAAAACTAAATCATTATTGTTTTTGGTACATAGAGCACACAGTGAAACTAAATCATTATTGTTTTTGGTACATAGAGCACACAGTGAAACTAAATCATTATTGTTTTTGGTACATAGAGCACACAGTGAAACTAAATCATTATTGTTTTTGGTACATAGAGCACACAGTGAAACTAAATCATTATTGTTTTTGGTACATAGAGCACACAGTGAAACTAAATCATTATTGTTTTTGGTACATAGAGCACACAGTGAAACTAAATCATTATTGTTTTTGGTACATAGAGCACACAGTGAAACTAAATCATTATTGTTTTTGGTACATAGACCACACAGTGAAACTAAATCATTATTGCTTTTGGTACATAGAGCACACAGTGAAACTAAATCATTATTGTTTTTGGTACATAGAGCACACAGTGAAACTAAATCATTCTTGTTTTTTTGTACATAGAGCACACAGTGAAACTAAATCATTATTGTTTTTTGTACATAGAGCACACAGTGAAACTAAATCATTATTGTTTTTGGTACATAGAGCACACAGTGAAACTAAATCATTATTGTTTTTGGTACATAGAGCACACAGTGAAACTAAATCATTATTGTTTTTGGTACATAGAGCACACAGTGAAACTAAATCATTATTGTTTTTGGTACATAGAGCACACAGTAAAACTAAATCATTATTGTTTTTGGTACATAGAGCACACAGTGAAACTAAATCATTATTGTTTTTGGTACATAGAGCACACAGTGAAACTAAATCATTATTGTTTTTGGTACATAGAGCACACAGTGAAACTAAATCATTATTGTTTTTGGTACATAGAGCACACAGTGAAACTAAATCATTATTGTTTTTGGTACATAGAGCACACAGTGAAACTAAATCATTATTGTTTTTGGTACATAGAGCACACAGTGAAACTAAATCATTATTGTTTTTGGTACATAGAGCACACAGTGAAACTAAATCATTATTGTTTTTGGTACATAGAGCACACAGTGAAACTAAATCATTATTGCTTTTGGTACATAGAGCACACAGTGAAACTAAATCATTATTGTTTTTGGTACATAGAGCACACAGTGAAACTAAATCATTCTTGTTTTTTGGTACATAGAGCACACAGTGAAACTAAATCATTATTGTTTTTGGTACATAGAGCACACAGTGAAACTAAATCATTATTGCTTTTGGTACATAGAGCACACAGTGAAACTAAATCATTATTGTTTTTGGTACATAGAGCACACAGTGAAACTAAATCATTATTGTTTTTGGTACATAGAGCACACAGTGAAACTAAATTAGCTGCTTATCGAACGTTACTTGGCAAATCGACATCCGCGGGAAGGGCACTGGTGGGATTTTTCATATTTTGTATTTCATTATTGAAAATATGTATTTTTCTATGTAAAAGGAGGGACCGTACAATTTCTTTTTGTCAACCTGTTTTCTGAGACTATGGTCGACAGATAATTGACTTATTCAGTTTAAACTTTCCTTGTCTACTACTGAGAAAAAACCCGTTGACCATATTAATAATTAGACACATATACTATACATTTGTACATAAGATATGCATGTGTATTCTTTCTAGTCCGGAGGCCTTGAATACAATAAACTATTGGAATAGGATCGGTATTCGGATCTTATTAAAAAGCTTTTGCTTCCTTTCTTCTAAATTTGACCCATGGAAATATAATTGTTTTCTTCAAACATGCAATTGATAAAGAGAATCTATTTTCTTTTTTAAAACACAACAACAGCAAAACTTGAGTGAGGCAGTCAGTAGCTCGACCGGGTTACATAATGGTTATATTTGTGTGATGGAGAAGGTAGATCGATTGTTGTACAAACAGCAGCGGTTTCAGCGCGCTCTCGCATATATTGACATGTTTCTCCCTATGTTTGTGTATAGTTCAATTAGCACTAATGAATGTTCAACGGCACCCAATATAGCATACATCAAACACAAGAACTGGTACAATTGCCCTGACTATGTAATGTTCAGAAATATTTTATCATTTAATAAGCAATCACGTGTTGATGTTATCTACTTAAGGTGTATCCTTGGTATTCTTTTCTTTTTCTTTTATGTTGTTTATTGTTTAATGTCGCACTCAGCAATATTGAATATATAGTAAGTTTAATGACGGCAATCTGTTAATAATCAAGCCTGGACCAGACAATCTAGTGATTGACATCATGAGCATCGATCTAGGCAATTGGGATACGATGACATACATCAACCCATCAGCGAAGCTTACCACCGTCTCCCGGATGTTGTCTCTCACGACAGGCATGGTTGCTGAAGACCAATTCTAACCTGGATATTCACGTGTCACTTGGTATTCACTATATTTGCACTGAGGTTGACGTGATGCACTTGGAGATGGTTGAATATTTGCACTAAAGATGACGTGATGCACTTGGAGATGGTTGAATATTTGCACTAAAGATGGCGTGATGCACTTGGTGTAGGTTAAATATTTGCACTAAGGTTGGCGTGATGCACTTGTTGATTGTTAAATATTTGCACTAAGGTTGGCGTGATGCACTTGGAGATGGTTAAATATTTGCACTAAGGTTGACGTGATGCACTTGGAGATGGTTGAATATTTGCACTAAAGATGACGTGATGCACTTGGAGATGGTTGAATATTTGCACTAAAGATGGCGTGATGCACTTGGTGATTGTTAAATATTTGCACTAAGGTTGGCGTGATGCACTTGGAGATGGTTAAATATTTGCACTGAGGTTGACATGATGCACTTGGAGATGGTTAAATATTTGCACTGAGGTTGACACGATGCAGTTGGAGATGGTTAAATATTTGCACTGAGGTTGACGTAATGCTTTATGAGAAGGTTAAATATTTGCACTGAGGTTGTCGCGATGCAGTATGAGATGGGTGCATCTTTGCACTGAGGGAGACGTGATGCACTTGGAGAAGGTTAAATATTTGCACTGAGGTTGACGCGATGCACTTGGAGATGGATGCATCTTTGCACTGAGGGAGACGTGATGCACTTGAAGTTGGTGAAATATTTGCTCAAGTGTATTACATTAGATGCTTATTTTAAAGGGGGTGAAAAATGAAAGCATTGTTTGTAAATACTAAAGGTTCAGTTTGTTTCATCGAATAAACAATGACGTGGTTTGATCTTTATTAACATGTTATTAAATACAAACCCAAAATAACCAATTAAACAACAACCCTCACCCCACCCATCGCAAACCCTTCTTTTTTAAGGTTGGCAATATCTTCTTATGTTCCATAACCGTACGACACGATGTGTATTCCGAGCGGTGGTGTTGCCTAGTGGTAAAAGCCATCACTCGTGACGCCGATGTCCCGAGTTCGATTCGCGACATGGGTACGATGTGTGAAGCCTATTTCTGGTGTCCCCCGCCGGGATATTGCTGGAATATTGCTAAAAGCGGTGTAAAACCACATTCACTCACTCTGATAACAGCGAACTCAGTGACACGGTGCCTTCTGCTACATATGTTCTAAAAATACAATAACTGTAAGAGGACCCATTGCAGACAGTCAACGATATGATGAAAATTTCTTTCCGTGTACAGTTCAATTTATTTCAGTTTATTTATTTACGGCAACGAAACCATTCAAAACAAACTACCACAAAAAGATAATATGTTTAAGGTGCACTTGAACTTGATCATATTTCAACAAAAGCGACAAAACCCTTTCCATATTCATAGGAGATCTCTGCTATAATCAGAATCGATTGTACAATTCAGTCAAACCGTGAAGTTCTGGGGTAGAATAGACATTAAGCAACCCTTGTTTGCTGTTAAAGGGACTATGCTTGTCGTAAGAGGCGACTAACGGGATCGGGTGGTCAGGCTCACTGGCTTGGTTGATGCATGTCATCGTATCCCGATTGCGTGGATCGATGGTCATGATGTCAATCACTGGATTGTCTGGTTCAGACTCGATTATTTACAGACCGCCGTCATACATTCACAGACCGGCGTTAAACAACGAAAAACGTTCTTAAGCTGAAGCGCCCCATAAATATTTCATGTCTTTATTCTTAGGGAAAAGACGAAATGAAATTGTTCAATCAACGTAAGGTTGGATGGGACCCGTGAAGATCCGGGATAGAATAGGTCTTCAGCAACCCATGCTTGCCGTAAAAGGTGACCATGCTTGTCATAAGAGGCGACTAACGGGATCGGGTGGTCAGGCTCGCTGACTTGGTTGATGCATGTCATCTTATCCCAATTGCGTGGATCGATGGTCATGATGTCAACCACTGGATTGTCTGGTCCAGACTCGATTATTTACAGAACTGTCATATAGATGTAATATTGCTGAGTGCGGCGTTAAACAACAAACAATACAAACAAACAAGCAATAAATTTGGATGATATCAGCCGAAGCAGTGGTCGTTTGTTATGACTGAATTCTTGAGATTTAGAGGAGTTTCGATATAACGCATATGTCGCCCACAAAACAGAGACTAATTCCTGTATTCGCACTGGCGTGCACTCGGCCAAGGTATATATCAGTAGGCCATACCAATACAGCCAACTACGTTTATAACGAACTGGCGGATATAACGAACTGTTTTTTTGGCCCTGGCCATTTGCTGTATATATGCGTATAACGAACTACGGTTATAACGAACTTAAATTTGTGGTCCCTTTGAGTTCGTTATAACCGTAGTTTAGTGTATTTAGTAGACTTCTGGTATACATAAGAGGATAGGAAACGAATGTGAATCGTTCTATATTGCACAGGCAGCATAAACAATAAAATGGTCATCCGTTAAAGACCGCCTCCGGGGTCCAGTGGTAGAGCGTCCGCCCGGAGAGCGGAAGGTCAGGGGGTTCGATCCCCGGCCGCGTCATACCAAAAGACGTTAAAAGATGGTACTTGTTGTTACCCTGTCTGGCGCTCGGCATTAAGGGGCTAAAACAAGGACTGGTCGGCTCGGAGTCAGTATACTGTGTCTGAGTGGGGTATTCATGTTAAACTGCGGCATGGTATCTCAGTGAGCTAGCACTGTAAATCGGCATCAGTCCGGACTAGTACAAAGAGCCACACAAACACACACACACACACGTGCATGCACGTCGCTATATAAGTGCAATAATCTTAGACGCGACGTTAAACCCCATTTCACCTCACTCATTCGTTAAATGACGACAGATGTTCGCAAGCGCGGATTTGGATAACGGTCTGTGCATCTTTTATTCTGCAATCTGTGTTGGATAGTCATGCAACTTTGTGCGTAATGGTCGTGAAGCTCATCAAGAGATTGTAAAACGTTTACACTTCACAACACACCATAAACCCAAGCCGGCTTTAGACAGGGTTATTCCACTTCTGACCACACATTTACATTGTAGACTATGGACCAAAAATGTTTCAGCAAAAGAAGATACAAACTTCATGAGGCTTTTGTAGATTTTAAGGAAGCTTTTGAAAAATTAATCGCAATAAGTAATGGTCTGGATGGTAAAATGCTGAACGCCTTAATAAAGAAGTATTTATTAATGTGTCGAATTCTGTGTGAGAGGAAACGTAATTTAATAACGTTATTTTGACTGTCAAAATGGTTTAAGCCAATGATGTATTTTGAGCCCATTATTTATTACTATAACGGGAATTCTTTCTAATGGCAAACGTGGTATTAAGTTTATTCCAGATATTTAAAAAAACTGTTACTGTTATTCGCTGACGCCGTTATTTTAGTATCAGACAGCCAGTGACACAAGTAAATATTCTTTTCAGCTCATTGCGATACGTGCATCTTAAAGGTGAATTTGGATATCAGCAATTTCAGCAATGGTTGATCATATTTAGCCATTAAGAGGAAAATACTAGTCCTTGAACTAATCATATATTTTGTCATTGCTTCAACAAAATTCTTTTTAAAGATATTTGATGCGTAAATACTGCCAATTATTTTATATTGTTCCGAGGTGTGGGATACCAGCAATATGAAAATTCCATCTGCTAGCTTGTTTCTTAATGTCGGATCACAAACCCCAAATGCAATAGTATATAGAGAAACGGGTCGCTTTCCTATATAAGTAAATAAGTGAGTGAGTGAGTTGGGTTTAACGCCACTTTTAACAGTATTGCAGTTATAACTTGGCGTGTCAGCTTAATGTGGGAGGAAAGTCCGAAGTGATGCGGGTCTCAGATGTTTACCACTTCGGTGAAACCCACGAGCATGGGTATGGTGCTGACAAACCTAGGAACATAATCGGGACAAACCGGGATTCGAACCCACAATCATAGGTTTCTGGTGTGCCTAAGGGACGCAACTCTGCACATCGAATCGCAGCGCCTTAAAGGACTGGCCACATGTTAAGAGTCTTTAGGATACAGCGAACAATCTTTCAATCCTATCTAACAGAACGTTTATAGACATTCTTTTAAGATTTAGAGCAGGCGTTATAAAATTGAAAACAAAAACAATGAAGGGAGATACTTGGCTGCTGATGCGAGGACTGATTTATAAGTTCAAATCCTCACATAGAAGGATGGGAATTGCATAAGTCTTTGGTGGAAAACATTACGTGATGTCATGGGATATTGCCACAAACACTTCAGTTACATGCGCAAATTGTAAGTCAGTAAAATAAGCATGGGTCTGAGACCTTTCGAAAATGGATAAACCTGAGGAACGTGTAGCGACCCAGTGATTATCACCGCACTCAGCAATATTTCAACTAAATGACAGCGGTCTGTAAATAATCGAGCCCCGGTCACTGAACCTAGCCATGGCTACACGGTCCATTCCATCATCTAACAACACCAGCATAATTCAGTGAGGAACCATTCCAGCTCTGAAAGTCCAGGCTGGCACCAATAAGGAATGATACCAAATAAATACAATATTTTGATTCCTTTGAACAAAAACTTTATTCAACAATCGACGATGAATTTACACAGGTGTCATGTCTTTTTCGGACGCAATCGGACTAATACCAATAACAACCATGAGTGAGGGCGTGAATTAGGTTTTACGCCGCTTTTAGCAATATTCCAGCAATATCACGGCGGGGGACAATCGAAATGGGATTCACACATTGAACCCAAGCAGAGAATCGAACCCGGGCCTTCGGCGTTACGAGGAAACGCTTTAACCACTGGCTACCCCATCGTCCAGAACAACCATGAAGTATCAGATATAATTATGAATATGGTTTGTTTGTGCCAAGGTAACGCACTCATGTCAGGATTTTTCAGTAAGTCAATTTTTTAAATATATATTTTCAATATGTCGATGTTTTTTCAGAGGATATGCAATCCGTTGTCGTGTCCGCGTGTTCTAACATCTCCGCAGATACAGGACGCAGTGGCGATACAGACGTCTACGGTAGATAAAGTATCTGCAGCGCAGCCTGTAGCAGATGGCTCGCTTGTGTCGGCCTGAAACAGAAACAACAGAGTGTATGTGACTGGCTGTGTTTAGCAGTACAATGTATGTGATTGGCTTTACGTAGCAGTACAATGTATGTGACTGTCTGTACATAGCAGTACAATGTATGTGACTGTCTGTATATAGCAGTAAAATGTATGTGACTGGCTGTATATAGCAGTACAGTGTATGTGACTGGCTGTATATAGCTGTACAATGTATGTGACTGGCTGTATATAGCAGTACAATGTATGTGACTGGCTGTATGTAGCAGTACAATGTATGTGACTGGCTGTATATAGCAGTACAATGTATGTGACTGGCTGTATATAGCTGTACAATGTATGTGACTGGCTGTATGTAGCAGTACAATGTATGTGATTGGCTGTATATAGCAGTACAATGTATGTGACTGGCTGTATATAGCAGTACAATGTATGTGACTGGCTGTATATAGCTGTACAATGTATGTGACTAGCTGTATATAGCAGTACAATGTATGTGACTGGCTGTATATAGCAGTACAATGTATGTGACTGGCTGTATATAGCAGTACAATGTATGTGACTGGCTGTATATAGCAGTACAATGTATGTGACTATCTGTATATAGCTGTACAATGTATGTGACTGGCTGTATGTAGCAGTACAATGTATGTGACTGGCTGTATATAGCAGTACAATGTATGTGACTGGCTGTATATAGCAGTACAATGTATGTGACTGGCTGTATATAGCAGTACAATGTATGTGACTGGCTGTATATAGCAGTACAATGTATGTGACTGGCTGTATGCATTTCAGTGTTTTGTGTATGAAAATGACCGTCCGGTTCCGGAAACTGAATTTCCGTATATACGGGTAAATTTATATAGTAATTATTTCGTTTTGAATCTGAAGTCCGTATAAGCGGGGCACGACTGTATATAGCAGTTCAGTGTATGTGACGTATTTTATTAAGCAGTTCAGTGTAATATAAAGACCGGGCATCCCAACTCCCCCTCTCCATCATTCGCCCATCAACTCACTGAATCCATGAAACCATTAAACACACCTTTAAAAACAGCATTGTCATCATCATCCAGTGGATCACAAACTACCCTCAACTACCCCACATGACAACCTTTCAAGATGCCTTCAGCAACAGCATTGTCGTCCTGGTCCACTCACTCACTCACTCACTCACTCACTCCCTCACTCACTCACTCACTCACTCACTCACTCACTCACTTACTCACTCACTCACTCACCCACTCACTAACTCATTCCCCATGACAACCCCTTCAAGTTACCTGCAACATCATCACTGCCATCTTCTACCAGAAGGTAGACCTCGCCTGTGCACCATTGCTTGACACTGTCCAACACTGCTTGATCAGTCACCTCCACCGCCGTCTTTGATTGGTCCATTCTGGCCTCTTCGACCTAAGCAATTAAACAATAAAAAAAGGTTTCAAAAAGGTCAATTAACCACATTTGTAGTTACATTATTATTAAAACAAACGCCCCGAAAGCGCGACTTGGGCGCAAAAAGTTCACGTCTTCATCGCGATCCCAATATTGGAAAATCAAGTGAAACGTCTCTGCCATCAAGACCCTATAATACGAGGTTCACACATGACCAATACTATGTGCGGATTTGTTTCCCCTGCCTGTGTTAGGATCCGCTGTCCGAATACCATACTCTCCCTGATTACCTTGTTTTTCCAGCAACATACCTCTGATCCTGAGTAGTAGACGTCTACAATCTACATCACGTTCCTCCCACATTGAGATGTCACGACTCGACTCAGTTGTACCACTTCGAATATTTAATTCTGAACCAATATATAATTGCTTTTACTTACATAGTCTGGAAGGGGAGCAGGATCGGAGTCAATGTAGCAGGTGTCGTTTCCGCCCATCTTGAACACACGACGGCCCTGTGGAAGTTGTTGAAAAAAGGACAACACTCGTGCTAAGTCAAGGCAAACCCTTATTCTTATATAATAAAGCCCATATTATCATTACAGAAACGTTAATGTAATATAGAAAATAATAACTCTTAAAATATTATCTCCTTCCAATAATCAAAGTACATATCATCACGTGCCACTTCAATTTCAGATCTACGTATTATCATCTGTGTCCCATGTGCCTGGTGGTTGAAAGCCAGGAAATCTATTCATTTTACCCAAATCAATGAAAATGAAACTGGCAACCTTATTTATTTTATTGGTTTACATATCCGGCGACCATGGCCAAATGCCGCCTAGTAAATATGAAAATAACAATTTTAACTCAACTTATATACGTGGATATCAATAGGAAAAAAAAAAAAAAATTAAATTGTAAAGTGTGATAATTATATGAAAGTAAAAATGTAAACAAGCGTAGATCTGGGTATAAATCTAATTATTCTGTTTCATTGTGTATAAATACATCTATAAAGCTACCTTTAGATCAACGCCGACGAAGACGTTGTCCGTCTCCCCTGGCACCGAGGACACCCCTGTCCCATCTTCACAGTCCTCCTCCACCATGTCGCCAGTGTCCATCTTCTCACACTGAGGACATCATTCACAACCAAACATGGATGAGCGTTATGATACAGAAGTCAGTTAGTGACGTGACGTGTTTGACGTATTTTGTTGACGCCACACTCAGCAGTACTCCGCTGACCACCCATACAGTCGCCTCGTACGACGAACATATCTTGCTGGTCCCACGGGGTATACACGTACATTGCATGTCTGGGACACGCGTGGCTGAGTTATGATACAGTAACCAGTTACTAACGTGAATTGTTTGAAGGTTTTTTGTATTTAAAATCCATGGATAACAAATGACAGAAATACAGGTGCCATGTCAATACAAAAACAGAAGTGTCTTGGTCCTTTATCTTACCTTTCTATTCTTATATTCGTTCTATTATATTGAATGCACCCTGCTTACATGTAAGGTCATATCTTATGTGCCCCGCTCGAATTGCCGAACTGTTGGCATTACATTTGTAACAGACCAACCGCAAATTTGTATCTAGAATTAATAATGTAGTATGCATTTTCCGGATATTTTCCGAATGAAATAGATCTCAGGGAAAATCTGGTTGTTTTCTGTCGTCTTCTGCTTCGATGAATGTAAAGCATGATCGAAGTGGATAAACGCCTAACTGTGGTATTCTTACCGAAAACCACACTCAGCAGAGCTAAGAATCCATATGTATATCTTGACGAGACAAACCATGATGGATTTTGTGAACAACGATCCAAGACTTCTTACGACCGGACCGCCTCCGTGGTCTTGTGGTAGAGCGTCCGCCCGGAGAGCGGAAGGTCCAGGGTTCGATCCCGGGCCGCGTCATACAAAAAGACGTTAAAAGATTGTACTTGTTGTTACCCTGTCTGGCGCTCGGCATTAAGGGGCTAAAACAAGGACTGGTCGGCTCGGAGTCAGTAAACTGTGTCTGAGTGGGGTATTCATGTTAAACTGCGGCATGGTATCTCAGTGAGCTAGCACTATAAATCGGCATCAGTCCGGACTAGTACAAGCAGCCACACACACACATACACGTGCATGCACGTCGCTATATAAGTGCAATAATCTTGGACGCGACGTTAAACCCTATTTCACCTCACCTCTTACGACCGGCATAGGTTTCATTGGACCTATCGAACCTAGAAACCCAACTTGGGCATGTTTCACTGTGGTTTTAGAACTCAATCCAATTGTCTGGACGGAGTTGTACACTGCTTTGAGCATTATTCTAGCCATACAAGAGAAATTGTCATCACGAATAGGTTTAAGACACTGTACCAGTGTGATGAATCGAATTCACATCTTTAAAGTAACAAGCGAACGCTGTATCCACTTGTTTAACAAACTGGTCCTTATCAAACAATAGTACTACTAGTGTAATTGTAATTGAATATACGTGTCCTTACCTTTTTCACTACAGGAGTTGAATAAACGAATGCGCAGAAGCACAGGACCATTGCAAGAGCACATGTTACCTAGAAAATACAGAAATGGTAAAACTAAGAAAAAAGCGAATTAAATTGAGATTTTTGAAAATTGAACCTCCTTTCTTGTCCAGGCTGCTAAAACTGTACACAGACCTTCTGATAGAGCTAAACTATGTTTGGAGATGATCCAAGCAATGTTATGGAAATTCTATCATAATTGTAACGATTGTATCTTTTTGCTTTGGTTAATCATATATTGGCCACTATTAAGAGCAACAAGAGCTTGTGTAAGTAGGGTTCCACATTCATATATCGTTTGTTTATTTGTTTGTTTGTTGTTTAACGTCACACTCAGCAATATTCCAGCCACATGTAGGCGGTACGGAAGTAATAGAGTCTTGACCAGTCATTCCAGTGATTAACATACGTGAGCATCTATCTACGCCATTGGGATACGATGACATGCATAAACAAAGTCAGCGAGCCTGATCACCCAATCCCGTTAGTGGTCTCTTACCACAAGCATAGACGCATCTTAAGACATGCATGGGTTGCTGAAGACCAGTTTTAACCCGGATCTTCACGGGTATCACATATCGTGACAGATTATAATATTAGAAGTAACCACCAGACGACAAAATACTGAAAACTTGAACAGTTGGATTTTCACGTTTAAGTTAATCATGAAACTTGTTATCATGCTCTTTAATATATCAACAAATTGAGTTGCTCTGAAATATTGTAATCTTTTACTCTGGTACAAACATGAAATTGAATCATAAATAAATAAATATAGTGGTTGGTTTTAGTAAGCAGATCACTTTCGAAATGCAATACAATATTTCCATGCACACGCATGTCATATATGACTATATATGAAACACGCTAGTTATAAGTTATAAGGTTCAAAACCATTAGGTTAACTTTTTATACTATAGACTCGAAACTTGCTTATGATATTCATATCAGCATTCTAGATAAATTATTTTGCTACAAGAAAAACAACTATCTTTTCAAACATATAATTCTTCTTGCAAAAAAATACATTCACCAGTCAAGCATTAAGAAAACTACATTATGATTTCCTTTCTTCACAAAAGATGTATGTAAAATAGAAATAATTATCGCAATGAAAAAGAGTAGTATTAATATATTCGATAGAAACAAATTCGGGCGTCGTCATTGGTGGAAGCCACCTTGAAGTTTCAGTTTCATTGGTCAAGCGCTTACTGAGAATATGGTGTTTACAATGCGAGGGAATTCATTTTGAAAAAGAAGAAGAATTTAAATAAAAGATACAAAACCCTTTCCATAATTATAAGAAATAGCCGCTAAAAGCAGAGTTCATGATCCGATTAGGACTATCATAAGCATGTGTTTAAGAACCACTTTCAAATAGTATTGATAGCAGGTGTTTGTTTGCAAAGGCAAGCCAATTGTTCACCTAAAACACAGTAACATAATGATAGCAAGCTGTTTTGCTGTTTTGGGCCATATTTGACGAATGACGTGATTGCCAACAACATATGAAATCACCTGTGAATATATGACTAACATGTTCGAATTCGTAGTAATGTGATGAGTCTTGGAAGCCACAAGTTGTGGAACTTATAACATAAGCTGTGAAGTCCACGTTCTGCAATAACTTGGATGCATATGAAACTGTTAGTGTTCTTTAGGGAAAATAAGTTTTGTCTGAGAAACGTTATTTATGTTTAAATTCAAGTCCTTTGTTTGATTAAATTTTAAAATCAGGTCCCTTTAGTAGAGTCTGTTTCTGGTTTATCCAAATGTTTCAATATATACTCTTCAGACATACTGTGGGCTCAAACAGTTTGAAACAATTTCGAAACATGGTCCAAAATGCAAGATCAAATAAAGGCCATAATTTCAAATGTCACGAAAAACGGAAAATATGTGTTGAGCTCCACTAAGAACTACACTTATAACACATTTCATAACATTTTGAAACAAAATATATGGTTTTACAGCAGAGGCCAAATCAATGTCAAAATAAAAAATATCGCAAAAAACGGAACAGGTATAGTGAGGGCCGCGACATACTACACATACACCAAATTCCATTATACTAGTATTTGGAGCGAAAATAGCTAAGTAATGGTCAGAAATATGTATCTCAATATGGCTGAGGCAACCAATATGACAATCGGATTCGAACCTCTTCTGAGAAGATGTGTACAGAAGCTGATGTCGACCATCACAATAGCAGGTCAGCTGGAGTCAGGTGAACCCAAACAAAATGGACGACAACGACGGATCACGACTTGCTCACCTGAGTGAGTGAGTTAAACTGTTAAGACACGTTGGTAACATTTCAGTCACATTGTGAGTAAACCAAAATGCACTCCCTAAACCAAAAATGAAGTTAAACTTTTACTTACTTTGACGCCCATGGTCTTCAGATTTAAGATGCTGAGTTGACAACTTCAGTTTCTTTGAGACAGTTCAGGATCAATCTTTCACTGCTTCTGTCCTCTGAGAATATCTCAGCCACATTTTATACATTCGCGGAGCCAGAGCTTAGCCAATAAAAATTTATTGCACAAGTTGAAAATCCCCTAAAAGATTTCCACGATTTTCTTTCGCAACTGTTCAAACTTGAACCAGGAACAAGATTGAACGACAGGCCATTGCTTGTTCGTACCTCAGAAGTCGGTGAAACACGAAGTCCTCCAAAAGCCTGGTTGTTGCCAAGAAGTAACTTAAAACTCATCCTTTCAAGACCCACTTTCCATAAACTCATGATTCAGTGTTTTGTTCACTGATGCAGATGACTGGCATATTTTCATTACCAGCACCAGAGCAAAAGTCAGTGTGAAGTGTTACGCAAAATAAGTGCAATCTTATTATTATTATATATTATGTTTGGATTTCGGGGCTCGGCTCGAGCAAACTGGCAGTCCTAATACGTTTGTTTCAAGTCGTTCAAACACCACCTTGGTTGTCTGTTAGGGGTGCATGTTACCTAGTAGTCTAAGGCACAGTGCAGAGTTGCGCCACTTCGGTCAGTAAGAATCCTACGTTCATACTTCGAATCCTGGATTCTCCTTGAATATGATTCATGGCTTCGACAAGTTGTTAAACACATAAAACCTGCATAACTTCGTGATTACCTCTCTTATGTCCTTGATTTCGTTGTGTGTAATACTCTAACAATAAATTGTTAAATTAATTATAACACAAAAATAATGTCACAGTTTCACACAAATAACTAATTGCAAAGTGTAATCTTTATTAAACTCATTATCGGTAATAAATTGTCCGAGAATATATAGAAATAAATAATTATGCTCAGACTGTTGGAAAAAAGGAACTATTCTGCCACAAAAATTACATTCTTTCAATGTGTATTTTACAAAGAAATATGAAGGATCATAGGTTTAAATATCTGGTTTTCCGCTGTAGCTGAATAAATATCAAAATCCCAGTCCGACCCTATCATCCCGAATATCAAATGGGGGGTCCCTTGTAGATATATGAACATGTTTCATCTATATATTGTGAGAATAGTCTAAGAAGTTCGTTACCCTGAAAATCAAGCATTGCGTTAACGTTTGACTGGTCACGTTGAAAATCGTCTCTACACCCTGCTCAACGGGTGGGAGCATTGTGTACTCAAACTACGTAGCATACAGAAAACCCGACTTAAAGGTACATAAAGGTAGAACTATATGTGTTTTTTATAAATATATATAAAGCGTTTTCAACTCGTACCACGTACGAGTCTCATCAGGCCATAACTGAATAACGGATGTCCGTTCAGTCATATATATTTGTGTGTGTGTGTGTGTGTGTGTGTGTGTGTGTGTGTGTGTGTGTGTTGTGTGTGTGTGTGTGTGTGTGTGTGTGTGTGTGTGTGTGTGTGTGTGTGTGTGTGTGTGTGTGTGTGTGTGTGTGTGTGTGTGTGTGTGTGTGTGTGTGTGTGTGTGTGTGCTGACGTAAGTTGATAATACAAAGTGGTATCGCAGATCTCAAATATATATATTTTGTATACATCTACAAACAATGTGGACGTGAGTTACGAATGCAACCTTTTTTTTTACTTCGGTTTAAAACATTTAACTACCCAATAAGGGTTGTTGTCGCCACGGGTATAACAAAGAATTCAGGACCTACGGGTTGAGTCACACATCCGGAAAGCTGACAATGCTGTGCCTTTCATCTTGCTTATATAACATGGAATATTGCAACATATCAGTGCTCGGGAGAATTTGAAAATAAGTTATATTTTCTAAAACATTTCAGATTTCTTGATGCTGATTTCGCAGTTTGCATGTATCAATCAAATTCAGCATTATGAGTGTATCATTCATTAACACCTAAGAAATCTATGCATATATTTTACCCTTGGCGAAGGACATGCATATTCTAAATATGCCAGTTAAGAACTAACCATCCATGTGTGTGTGTGTGTGTGTGTGTGTGTGTGTGTGTGCGTGCGTGCGTGCGTGCGTGCGTGCGTGCGTGCGTGCGTGCGTGTGTGTGTGTGTGTGTGTGTGTGTGTGTGTGTGTGTGTGTGTTTGTGTGTGTTTGTGTTTAAATTTTAAATTCTTTAAAACACAGTTTGTTTGGTCCATCTTCGGGCCATTTTAACATAAGTACACCTTTTAAAAAGTACTTGTTATTACTCAAATACGCATCCAAACGTGAGGCTTCTCTGGCTGTTTTTAGCAAGCAGTTTGTTGTCGACACAGACGGTTGATCAATCTGTAGCCCATGTTATTATAATTATTATAATTTTTCAGTTATCAATATATTTATATGATCAGTTATTTTATATACGGCGTTCATAGAAGAAAGATTCCTTGTGCGAGACGTGTGACGAATAAATAACTTACGTCAAGATGTGTTTACTTACATAAACACAGACACTAACTAAATAACAGTTAGCTGTGTTCAGCTGATAGACCTGAAGATGTGATGAAGTATTCGGTGACCGGTAAAATAATTTCTATCCGATGTTTCAAATGTTAAATTTTGTCGCAAAACTCAATAACACACGCCAATTTGAAATGTTTATCGCCATTGTAAATGGAAAAGAGCATAAAAGATAATTTTCAACAACACTTTTTCTTCGCTTTTCTCAGAAATACTATCACGACATGATAAAACGGTGAACGTCATATGCTTCTGTAACATTGAATCAGCCAGATTCGCAGTATTTGTTTAATAGACAACAGAAGTTTCAGGAAACGTGATTGTACATTTTCTAAAACAGATATTTTGTTGAAACTCAAGACTGAACAGCGGGAAAAAAATTTGACCTTACCGTGGATAAGAAGAGTTCAATGGATATTCTAGAGATAGGTGATGACATTTACTTTGTTTTACAACATAAAACATTACTTTAGTTGCAGATTGTGCCAGTTCATTTTTGGCTTTGAAAATAAAGAATTAATATATTTGGAGAATTGTATGCAAAGGCATTTGTATGTATTTACGTTTGGTAATACAACACCACATTACTTAAGACATGCTTGTAATCTTTCTTTGTACCGTTAAATATAAGAACTTTAATTTTATTCGAATTCGGCATTGTCTCACATCAGATAGTATCGCCCGCTTACAGAAGTATTATAAAACATACAGCCACATTTAAAACACAATCAAAATTAGGAAATATAACGCCGATGCACATCTTGGTGTGTACAAAATCTACTACATCATTAACGAACAAAGAGAAAAGCAAGGGAGATATGTTGTCGCCTTGTCTTACGCCGATACAACAAGGGTATAATTCTGAATACTCATTATTATTAACTATGCAAGATTGTCTAGTATATTTGAGATCTGCGATACAACTTTGTATTATCAACTTACGTCAGCACACACACACACACACACACACACACGCACGCACGCACGCACACAGACACACACACACACACACACACGCACAAGCACACGCACTATTATCTTCACATTCGCCTATAGGTTTTGCATCCACAATACCTTATCAGGTAAAAGGTAATACGCTATATAATCGTTTAATCGTATGATTGTATCTGGGTAGATCTATGAACTATTATAACAATCTATTAATGTCTTCATTTATTTGATCTTAATTACAGACGATTAAGTCTAAAATGACTGGTTCATTACCACAACAGGGAAATCTCATATATTTTGAAAAGCCATCTCTAGTCCACTGTCTAACAACTGGGGTTTCCGACAAATGGGATTTGACCCTCTGCCGTGGGTCACATGTCACAAAGACCAGAAAACAATTTTATGAAAAACCGTCGAACTCGGAACCTTCGTATGTTTAGCCCGACAAGTCAGCCGAGATAACGTTCACGCTGTTCGACTGAGAGCAAATGTATTAACGGCTACGGGGTAATGAACGAAAAGTGACGATACGTGCTTTATTGATAACTGAAAATTGTTATTATGATGACATGGGCAACATATTGATCAACCATCTGTATCGACAACAAACAAGTCAGGGTAGAGTGATGTTTTTAAACCTGTTATATAAATAATATAACACGTAATGTTAATTTAATTTAACAGTTCTCCTCATAGCTTACACGGTTTAGTTGTAACCTGCGTAAATAAGTCAATGACTGCTTGACATATTTTTTGTTAATTTCTTAATTAAAATCAATAAAAACAACTAAAGCATTATTGGATCCATCTTCAGGTCAATTTAAAACAAGAATACGTCAAAGGAAAACGTTTTGAGTAAGATGACACAATGACAACACAACAAGTTTATCTTAAACACCTTTACCTTTATGAAGACATACAATATAACTATTGCACACACACATACTTTCTACTGCAATGGAATTTTATCTATTTCATTAAAACATAAAAAGATCACGAATCCACCCCTCGAGCAGGGCATACAGGCGGGTTTCAAAAGAACCCGGTCAACCGTAAAACTATTGTGCTTTTCCGAGAAAATAGATGCGCGACGCAATAGTATTGGCCGTACTTGTTTGTTTAACCTGAAACGGTTCATGGAAAAGTACCCTGCATACACGATGAAACCTGCCTTTTCATGGGGAGGGGTGTGTGTTTGGAGTGGGTGTAGGGGGTGTGGGGTGTGTGGGGTGTGTGTGTGTGGGGGGGGGGGGGGGGGGGGGGGGGGTAGGGGGGGGGGTTTAAGATGTTTTCTCAGCTCGTTACATTGGGGCAGGCTATGTCTATATTTCGCAACCGTCTGAGGCATTATTATTTTTTTCAAGAATTTTCGAGAACGATTTATTTACCGCCGGTCTGTGTTAAGGGTTTTATGAGATTGTTTGTGTGGCATACCCATTACTGGTCAAATTCACAGAGGCATATTCGTTGTTCTCACAGTTTTGTATTACAGAGTAATTAACAATAAATAACTTCTTAGAATATTTTAACCACATATAGGTAAAGTGTGTATCGTCGATCCAGACCCCTAGGATTTCTTCATTCCTAATATCTAACGTATGTGTTTTGACCATTAGAATGTGGTATATTGAGTGAGTGAGTGAGCTGGTTTTAACGCCGCCTTGTACGTTATTTTAGTATTATGGCTGGCTGAGTAAGCGATGTCCAAAAGGTTAAACAAACATGTAGGGTATTGTGCTGACAAACCCATGGTCAACCGATCCTGAAACGGTTAAGGGACGCAACTCTTCTCGGGGAAATGCGGATTGATAAATCAGCAGTCTGTCGAGTAGTAGAAAATAACAGAATGATTTAATGGCAATGTAGAAATAACGTAGAAATAAGAGAGGATCAGTGTGATGTTGTAGCAGACAAATGATCAACGTGTTAACATAATAAAGGGGAATCTGGATTCGAACCCACAATCATAGGATGCTGGCCCGCCTAAGGGACGCAACTCTTCAATGATTTAATGATAATGTAAAAATAACGTTAAGACAGGATACGTGTGATGTTGTAGCAGACAAATGATCAACGTGTAAACTTAATCGGGGGAATCTGGGATTCGAACCCACAATCATAGGATGCTGGCACGTCTAAGGGACGCAACTCAGCGAAGTGCGGCGCCTCGGACGAATGGGCCACGCGTGCCCCCTACACCCACAGTGATCTGTTGAGACCCCGGGTAAGAACAAAGGTCCCCAGTAACCTATATGTATGTTTGTTGTAAGAGGCGAAAAAAGGCTCATTGTGTCTCTCATGAAGATGCTTGGTCCTGACTCTATTTTTTACAGATGGCCGTCACATACCTTCAATATTGCTGAATGCTGCATTAAACAACAAACAGACAGACAGGGTAACACCCTACCTATTTAACTCCAGTATTTGAATAGGGGCGGTGGGGTAGCGTAGTGATCAAGCGTTCGCTCGTCACGCCGAAGATCCGGGTTCGATCCCCCACATGGGCACAATGTATGAAGTCCATTTCTGGTGTTCCCCCGCCACGATTGGTGAGTGCGGCGTTAAACAACAAACAAACAAAACAAACAAAACAAACAAAAACACACAGATAATGTTTGCCGGTACCTACAACGCGATATTGGCGACCTAGCTGGCATGTCCATTACTCATGAACACGTGCCACCCACGGGCGACTAACGGGATCGAGGGGTCAGGCTTGGTGGCTTGGTCGATACATGTCATCGTATCCCAAATGCGTAGATCGGTGTTCATGCTGTCAATCAATGGATTGTCTGGTCCAGAATCGATTATTTACAGATCGCAGTCATACAGCTGGAATATTGCTGAGTGCGGCGTTAAACAACAAACAAACAACCATATGACTTTTTTAAAACTTGACATTCACTCGGGCTTATTTTCGTGTTAATGTGATTCTAAGGCTGAAGACAGTAATGTTGCAATTATTGACAAGAACAAACAAACATTGCTCACAAGAAAACCAAAACATGAAAAACTCTTATAAATCGAAAGAGGGTTTACCTCTCGACTATATAATTAGTCGTTTGTCTAAAAAACGGGACATGATTGTTGTGAAATTTCATTCACAATTCCCTGTGAGATGATTACACGTTACGGAATTTGAATAAACAGACAGAATGAACGTGTGAGATGTATTGACGGCTGTTCTTAAAAAAACATTTCGGCTATACAGCTGGAATAAGCCCTTAGTCATGCTTGTTTTTGACGTTCTGACTCTATAAATCAAAGAACCAAGAATCATATTTAGAGTAACCCTGAGATTCGAAGCCATGTTTCTGTCAGACCGAAGTGATGCAACTTTGCACAACACAGGCAAACAAGGTGGTGTTTGAACGACGTGAAACATACTAACTACGACTACCAATGTATAGTTATAAAATAACGATTAGGATAATTATAGAGATCGCGAAATACTGACATGTGGTCTTTTCCCGCCACCTCTATACAATCCATCCATTATGGAACACCTATTGTCGACATACTGACATGTGTCTATTCCCGCCACCTCTATACAATCCATCCATTATGGAACACCTATTGTCGACATACTGACATGTGTCTATTCCCGCCACCTCTATACAATCCATCCATTATGGAACACCTATTGTCGACATACTGACATGTGTCTATTCCAACCACCTCTATACAATCCATCCATTATGGAACACCTATTGTCGACATACTGACATGTGTCTATTCCAACCACCTCTATACAATCCATCCATTATGGAACACCTATTGTCGACATACTGACATGTGTCTATTCCCGCCACCTCTATACAATCCATCCATTATGGAATACCTATTGTCGACATACTGACATGTGTCTATTCCCGCCACCTCCATACAATCCATCCATTATGGAACACCTATTGTCGACATACTGACATGTGTCTATTCCCGCCACCTCTATACAATCCATCCATTATGGAACACCTATTGTCGACATTCTGACATGTTTTTATTCCCGCCACCTCTATACAATCCATCCATTATGGAACACCTATTGTCGACATTCTGACATGTTTTTATTCCCGCCACCTCTATACAATCCATCCATTATGGAACACCTATTGTCGACATTCTGACATGTTTTTATTCCCGCCACCTCTATACAATCCATCCATTATGGAACACCTATTGTCGACATACACGTATAACTAATTCTAACACAACTTAACCTAATTAATTTTCTTGCAATGTTTGTCAAGAAAATAGATTTACTTACGGATAATCTGCAAATGAAAAGTAATAACTATTAAATGTTAAGGTTTAAACTATTTTTTCAAGGATATGATCTAATAAAACAGTCCGCAATATGGTTTACCTTTGAGTACCCCTTTCAATATGACAGTGCTTTCAATCAGAACCTTCATATGTGAGCATTGTGCTATCTTTCTAGGACTCCTTGAAAAAATCATGGTGATAGTCGATTCAAACAATGCAGTGTTAGGCCATTATTAATTAATCATGGGACTTTAATCCCCATCCGTCTCATTAAAACAATCGCCTGACATACTTCCATTGTCCCTCGCTATATGTTCCATCTTTTTTTAAATTAATGAAATACTTAGTTCAACCAGACAGCCATTCGTTATGGAAGTCATATTCGTCAACAGTTAACGAAAACAGATGCCTTGTATATATTCATGTTTCGCCATTTGGTTCGTCAACACACTGCCTGTGGCGACCTAAACCGACTTCTATTAAAAAAATTAAAGGCTTGTCGTTTAATCGTGTCCTGGTTCAAGTTTGAACAGTTGCGAAAGAAAATCGTGGAAACTTTTCAGGGGATTTTTTACTGGTGCAATCACATTTTTATTGGCTTAGCTCTGGCTCCTCGATTGTATAAAATGTGGCTGAGATATTCTCTGAGGACAGAAGCAGTTAAAGAAACCGAAGTTGTCAACTCAGCATCTTAAATCTGAAGACCATGGGCGTCAAAGTAAGTCAAATTTGAACTACATATTGGTTTAGGGGGAGAGTATATTTTTACCCAGGTGAGCTTATGTCGTCGCAAGTCGCCCGTCGTCGTCCATTAATCTTTATTTAAACTCACAAGAACCTGTTTATGACCATTTCTCAGCCATTTTTACTCCAAATGTAATGACATTTGATGTATGTGTAGCCAGTAACAGGGTCAACAGCTCTTCCTTTTTTTGCGATATATTAATTGTGATTTGACCTTTGCTCTAAGACTATACTGAAAACTGAGACTACTTTTTTACCCTTTCACGGCCATTTATTTTCAAAATAACATGAAATTTGGTATATGTGTACTTCGTAGTTGGGCTCAACACATACGTTCCGTTTTTCGTAATGTTATAAATTATGACCTAGATTTGACCTTTGCATTTTGGACAACGCTTTAAAATTCTTTCAAAATGTCCTGGCAATGTTAATATCCTTTTCAGAAAGCACTGAACCAACGAAGCTGAAGAGGTTCGAATGTCGTTCGAATGCCGTTTTCAGTATTATCAGTATTACCAGTACGGCGTTAAATAACAAAAGGAGGAGGTATTGGGTTTGAATGATACTTGAATGTTAGATTATGACCCTTTTCGCGAACACCTGGTGTCAGCACTGATTTTCGGTAACCCATTCCTGTAATTTTCATCTCTGTTTTACCTTTTACGCCTACTGGTGTCAGTTTCGGCGGTTGGCCGAGGCTGGTTGTTCTCTGGGGTTCACGTATTTGTTCATTGGTGTGCATGGGGATATTGTATTGCATTTTGACAGTGAATTTCTTACTAAAACCAGCCACTATCTCTGTCTATATGTGGTTCATTTTCATGTTCTTACCAGAGTCAAATATTTGAGAGTAACACAATTTGTTGATATATTAAAACTTATCTGTTCCATATTTCAATTTTTTTCTCTTTTTTAATTTTGCTGTTTTATGTTTTCCAGGTAACATGTGTTCTTGCATTAGTCCTGTGCTTCTGCGCATTTGTTTATTCAACTCCCGTGGTGAAAAAGGTAAGGACACGTTGTTTGTTTTCATTGATCAGTTTATTGAAATTTGTACAGGTAGTACTATTATTTGATAAACCCCAGTTGGTCAGCCAAGTGGTAAGCCGTCCGCTTGTCTCGCTGAAGGCCTGGACTCTATTCACTATACTGTTACAATAGATAGATAGATAGATAGATATTCTTTATTTCCTCCAATTGAATGAAGATTACAATATGCAGATATGGTTATGTTACATGTTTAACATAAATATGGGGTATATTTACACATGTGCATAAACATACAAGTCTTTTAGCAGGTATCGCCATTTCCTAATATAGCGGCTTACATTAATTATTACTTCTGCCCACACATCTCTTTCTAGTTCCATAATACATTCTATTGGACATCCACCAAGTAAAAACGCAGGGTAACATCGTCATCTTTCTCCCAGATCTTAACAAAAACATTTACATCCAGGATATCACATATGGTGTTAAAAAGTAAATTTCGGTCATTCATATTGATCGTGCAGGACATAAACACGTGCTTTACAATATCATTGGCAACAGTTTTACAATAGCATTCTCTAGAGATAATTTCAGCTGATCCATATAATACAAGCCTTGCAATATTAGTTAAATGGTCATACTTCTACACAGCAGTCAGACATGAGTGGATTGTGTTCTACACAACAGTTAGACATGAGTGGATTGTGTTCTACACAGCACTCAGACATGAGTGGATTGTGTTCCACACAGCAGTCAAACATGAGTGGATTGTGTTCTACACAACACTCAGACATGATTGGATTGTGTTCTACACAGCAGTCAGACATGAGTGGATGGTGTTCTACACAACACTCAGACATGATTGGATTGTGTTCTACACAGCAGTCAGACATGAGTGGATTGTGTTCTACACAACACTCAGACATGATTGGATTGTGTTCTACACAGCAGTCAGACATGCCGCCTTCTTGATCCCGGGTTGGATAAACCCCCAGGAACATATGCTGGTTGGAAAGAGGCGACCAAATGGACCCGGTGGTCATGCTCGGTGATTTGCTGATCACGTTTCATCGTACCCGACGGCGTGGGACGTTGCTCATTGTATCACTCAGTTGTTTGTCTGAATGTTGATTCGATTATTTAAAGGCCATCGTCGTTTTAACTGGAATAGTGGGGCGTAAAGCAACAATACTCAAAACTAAGTCATCAGTATGTTAATAGTGAGAAACATGGAGAGATTTAACACTTTGAATACTTTGTCATAGGAGACAATATAGTCTTCCTTATATTTTCATGGTCGAGATAAATAAGGGCTTTCAAAACGTGTCAAATGCACTCCATTGACGTGTGTTTACCATATGTTGTCTCTTATAGATAAGTTTCTCAACAACAAGGGTAAACATTTGTTAAATATACATATATATATTAGAATAAACATATATCTTTCATTGGCGATATGAAAGAACAAACTGCGTTTAAGAACTGACAAAATGTACATTGCTTTTTAAAAATTGATCAAATGAGCTTTCGGTATCATGGGCTTCAACCTTCTTAATTTGGTTTTTAGAATTTTGGGGGAAGTTCATGATGAACAGGACATAGAATTCTCGTTTATTAATATCTCGATTTGTTTTGTTACAATGAAACCCCGTGCTTTTTATATACAATGGTTGGTTGGTTGGTTTGTTGTTTAACGTCGCACTCAGAAATATTCCAGCTATATGACGGCGGTTTATATACAATGGGCTTTACGTCAGTGAGTGCTTGGTCACGAGAGTGAGGTATGCATGACTGATCCTCCCAACATTTTGAACTTCCAAAAATAATATTTTGATGTCAATGTACAGCATTGCTATTATATTCACACCTTGGTACATAATCCGAGAAATGCAATCGCCCTGAAGATTATTTCAGTTTTATAATGCCATGTTAGTTTACTGTCAGAAGAACACCCTACGATCTTCAATGTTTACCACTGAAAGCAACGAGTTCGAACTCGGCACGGTCAGTTGCCTTGCTTTACACCACTGAGCCACCCGTGTCCCCGCCATGCAATGTACGTGTTCGAATAGGTCCCCAACAATCTATGCTTCTTGTACGAGGCAACTGTATGGATCGGGTGGTCAGGCTTGGTCACTTGATTGATGTGGTGTCTTCGTACCCCGACGGCATGGGTCGTTGCTAATTATAGTTCCCTCTATGTTCCCGCTATGTTAGTTTATGTTCGCCTTGCCCGACATGGGTTGATGTAACCTCTGTGTTAGTTGATGTACCCTCTGTGTTAGTTGATGTACCCTCTATGTTAGTTGATGTTCCCTCAATGTTAGTTTATGTACCCTCTATGTTAGTTTATGTACCCTCTATGTTAGTTTATGTTCCCTCTATGTTAGTTTATGTTCCCTCTATGTTAGTTTATGTACCCTCTATGTTAGTTTATGTACCCTTTATGTTAGTTGATGTACCCTCTATGTTAGTTTATGTACCCTCTATGTTAGTTTATGTACCCTCTATGTTAGTTTGTGTACCCTTTATGTTAGTTTATGTTCCCTCGCCAGATATTGGTTGATGTACCCTCTGTGTTAGTTTATGTACCCTCTATGTTAGTTTATGTACCCTCGCCAGATATGGGTTGATGTACCCTCTGTGTTAGTTTATGTTCTGCAGAAACTACAATAGAGGGTACACCAACTCATGTCCCTCGAGGGACCGTTGGACAATTTATGTGTGGGGTGCATACCTAATTATACTGCAGGCATGTCCAATGAATGCATGCTCTGGTCCGAATCGGTAAGAATACCACAGTTAGGCATTTATCAACATCGTTCATTTTTCACATTCATCGAAGCAGCACAGAAAACAGAACCAGCTATTCCCCCTTGATCTATTTCAAAATGAAATATCGTAAATATCAAGAGAATGGCGTATTACATACTTTATTCGAGATACATAATTGTTGTTGGTCTGTTGCAAATGTAAAGCCAACAGTTCGGCAATTCGAGAAATGTAACACACATGTGAGCAGAGTATATTCAAAATAGCAGACTTTGTCTCATCCCGTGGGGATTTCGGGATAGACAACTTGACCAGCAAGACATGTTTGTCGTAAGAGGCGACTGTATGGGTGGTCAGCGGAGTACTGCTGAGTGTGGCGTCAACAAAATACGTCAAACACGTCACGTCACTAACTGACTTCTGTATCATAACGCTCATCCATGTTTGGTTGTGAATGATGTCCTCAGTGTGAGAAGATGGACACTGGCGACATGGTGGAGGAGGACTGTGAAGATGGGACAGGGGTGTCCTCGGTGCCAGGGGAGACGGACAACGTCTTCGTCGGCGTTGATCTAAAGGTAACTTTTTTGATAGTATTTATACACAATGAAACAGAATAATTAGATTTATACCCAGATCTACGCTTGTTTACATTTTTACTTTCATATAATTATCACACTTTACAATTTTAAAATTTGTTGAAAGTTTAATGTGTATTTTGTGTTTCCTATTGATATCCACGTGTCGTATAAGTTGAGTCAAAATTGTTATTTATTTTTCATATTTACTAAGCGGCATTTAGCCATGGTCGCCGGATATGTAAACCAATAAAATAAATAAGGTTGTCAGTTTTATTTTCATTGATTTGGGTAAAATGAATACATTTCCTGGCTTTCAACTACCAGGCACATGGGACACAGATAATAATACGTAGATTTGAAATTGATGTGGCACGTGGTGATATGTACTTGGATTATTGGAAGGAGATCATATTTTAAGAGTTATTATTTTCTATATTACATTAACGTTTCTGTAAGGATAATATGGGCTTTATGTTATAAGAATAAGGGTTTGCCTTGACTTAACATGAGTGTTGTCCTTTTTTCAACAACTTCCACAGGGCCGTCGTGTGTTCAAGATGGGCGGAAACGACACCTGCTTCATTGACTCCGATCCTGCTTCCCTACCAGACTATGTAAGTAAAAGCAATTATATAATGCTTCAGAATTCTATATTCCGCGTTGTGCATTCAGACATATCCTGGCGTGACATCTCAATGTTGAAGAAAGTGATGTCACTGGTATACGTTTACCACTTTGTTGAAAGTCACAGGTAATACCCGATACCAGTAACACAGGGTCATTAGTGATATTCTGGTGTTCTGACCCACGATCAGCGGATCTTGACACAGGCAAGAACAGCAACTATGCATAATACATTACGGAGTCTTAGATCACTGGATCATCTTAAGTAGTACTGGAAGGTGATATGTAAAAAACATATAATACTATGGTGTGTCAAATCCTGGCAGTAAATTCTATTTGGTTCAAATGTAAAATGCAGTTCCGACAATACAACTCACATTGCAAATAGATAGAAATCAGCGTTCGATAAACGTTCGATGCGGTCAATTTGACGTTTGTAGTGAATAAGGACTTATACCAAGCAACCCTCAACTCAAGGTTTGGTGATGATGGTGCTCTTGATTTTCCAATCATGGGATCGCGATCTGGACGTGAACCTTTCACGCTCTGTTCGTTCTAGCGGGGCGTTTGCTTTTTACCTTAATGCTGTTTTATTGCTTAGGTCGAAGATGCTACACTAGAACAATCAAAGACGGCGGTGGAGGTGACTGATCAAGCAGTGTTGGACAGTGTCAAGCAATGGTGCACAGGCGAGGTCTACCTTCTGGTGGAAGATAGCAGTGATGTTGTTGAAGGTAACTTGAAGGGATGGTCATGGAGGAGAGAGTGAGTGAGTTACTCCCTGGTGGAAGAAGACAATGCTGTTGGTGAAGGTTTCGTCAAGGGTTGGCCAAACATTTAAAAACAATATCATCTAGGAAGCAGGTATCCGGTCTAACTTACACGGTACTGCTATATACAGCCAGTCACATACATTGTACTGCTATATACAGCCAGACACATACATTGTACTGCTATATACAGCCAGTCACATACATTGTACTGCTATATACAGCCAGACACATACATTGTACTGCTACATACAGCCAGTCACATACATTGTACTGCTATATACAGCCAGACACATACATTGTACTGCTACATACAGCCAGTCACATACATTGTACTGCTATATACAGCCAGACACATACATTGTACTGCTACATACAGCCAGTCACATACATTGTACTGCTATATACAGCCAGACACATACATTGTACTGCTATATACAGCCAGACACATACATTGTACTGCTATATACAGCCAGACACATACATTGTACTGCTACATACAGCCAGACACATACATTGTACTGCTATATACAGCCAGACACATACATTGTACTGCTATATACAGCCAGACACATACATTGTACTGCTACATACAGCCAGACACATACATTGTACTGCTACATACAGCCAGTCACATACATTGTACTGCTATATACAGCCAGACACATACATTGTACTGCTATATACAGCCAGACACATACATTGTACTGCTACATACAGCCAGTCACATACATTGTACTGCTACATACAGCCAGTCACATACATTGTACTGCTATATACAGATAGTCACATACATTGTACTGCTATATACAGCCAGACACATACATTGTACTGCTATATACAGCCAGTCACATACATTGTACTGCTATATACAGCCAGTCACATACATTGTACTGCTACATACAGCCAGTCACATACATTGTACTGCTATATACAGACAGTCACATACATTGTACTGCTATATACAGATAGTCACATACATTGTACTGCTACTTACAGACAGTCACATACATTGTACTGCTACATACAGCCAGTCACATACATTGTACTGCTATATACAGATAGTCACATACATTGTACTGCTATATACAGCCAGTCACATACACTGTACTGCTATATACAGCCAACCACATACATTGTACTGCTATATACAGCCAGTCAAATACATTGTACTGCTACATACAGCCAGTCACATACATTGTACTGCTATATACAGCCAGTCACATACATTGTACTGCTACATACAGCCAGTCACATACATTGTACTGCTATATACAGCCAGTCACATACATTGTACTGCTACATACAGCCAGTCACATACATTGTACTGCTACATACAGCCAGTCACATACATTGTACTGCTATATACAGCCAGTCACATACATTGTACTGCTATATACAGCCAGTCACATACATTGTACTGCTATATACAGATAGTCACATACATTGTACTGCTATATACAGCCAGTCACATACATTGTACTGCTATATACATACAGTCACATACATTGTACTGCTATATACAGATAGTCACATACATTGTACTGCTATATACAGCCAGTCACATACATTGTACTGCTATATACAGACAGTCACATACATTGTACTGCTATATACAGATAGTCACATACATTGTACTGCTACTTACAGACAGTCACATACATTGTACTGCTACATACAGCCAGTCACATACATTGTACTGCTATATACAGATAGTCACATACATTGTACTGCTATATACAGCCAGTCACATACACTGTACTGCTATATACAGCCAACCACATACATTGTACTGCTACATACAGCCAGTCAAATACATTGTACTGCTACATACAGCCAGTCACATACATTGTACTGCTATATACAGCCAGTCACATACATTGTACTGCTATATACAGATAGTCACATACATTGTACTGCTATATACAGCCAGTCACATACATTGTACTGCTATATACAGACAGTCACATACATTGTACTGCTACATACAGATTGTCACATACATTGTACTGCTACTTACAGACAGTCACATACATTGTACTGCTACATACAGCCAGTCACATACATTGTACTGCTATATACAGATAGTCACATACATTGTACTGCTATATACAGCCAGTCACATACACTGTACTGCTATATACAGCCAACCACATACATTGTACTGCTACATACAGCCAGTCAAATACATTGTACTGCTACATACAGCCAGTCACATACATTGTACTGCTATATACAGCCAGTCACATACATTGTACTGCTACATACAGCCAGTCACATACATTGTACTGCTATATACAGCCAGTCACATACATTGTACTGCTACATACAGCCAGTCACATACATTGTACTGCTACTTACAGACAGTCACATACATTGTACTGCTATATACAGCCAGTCACATACATTGTACTGCTACATACAGCCAGTCACATACATTGTACTGCTACTTACAGACAGTCACATACATTGTACTGCTATATACAGCCAGTCACATACATTGTACTGCTATATACAGCCAGTCACATACATTGTACTGCTATATACAGCCAGTCACATACATTGTACTGCTATATACAGCCAGTCACATACATTGTACTGCTATATACAGCCAGTCACATACATTGTACAGCTATATACAGCCAACCACATACATTGTACTGCTATATACAGCCAGTCACATACATTGTACTGCTACGTACAGCCAGTCACATACATTGTACTGCTATATACAGATAGTCACATGCATTGTACTGCTACATACAGCCAGTCACATACATTGTACAGCTATATACAGCCAGTCACATACATTGTACTGCTACATACAGCCAGTCACATACATTGTACTGCTACATACAGCCAGTCACATACATTGTACTGCTATATACAGCCAGTCACATAAACTGTACTGCTATATACAGCCAATCACATACATTGTACAGCTATATACAGATAGTCACATGCATTGTACTGCTATATACATCCAATCACATACATTGTACTGCTACATACAGCCAATCACATACATTGTACTGCTATATACAGCCAATCACATACATTGTACTGCTATATACAGCCAGTCACATACATTGTACTGCTATATACAGCCAACCACATACATTGTACTGCTAAACACAGCCAGTCACATACACTCTGTTGTTTCTGTTTCAGGCCGACACAAGCGAGCCATCTGCTACAGGCTGCGCTGCAGATACTTCATCTACCGTGGACGTCTGTATCGCCACTGCATCCTGACTCTGCGGAGATGTTAGAACACGCGGACACGACAACGGATTGCATATCCTCTGAAAAAACATCGACATATTGAAAATATATAAAAACATTGAGTTACAGAGAAATCCTGACATGAGTTCGCTCTCTTGGTACAAGTTATTTAATTTACACACGAACAGCTGACCTTTTATGATTGATCTTGGTATAAGTCCAGTTGCATCTGGAAAAGACTTGCCACCTGTCAATTCCTCGTGAATTGTTGAATAAAGTTGTTGTTTTTCACAATCCTTTTATTTGATATCGGTTCCTAATGGGTGCCAACGTGGACCTTCCGGGTTAGAATAGGTCCTTACCAAATTATGCTGGTCTTTATAAGCGATGAAATAGACGCCATGGCCAGTGACTGGGCTTATTGCGAGTCAACGTACTCTGATGTGGCTCACGCTATCAACCACTGGTTTACCATGCATCATTTGGACACTTTGCCACGTGCATCAAATAAGCCGGTACACACAAGTATATGCATTTGCATAGAATTTTACGGATAGGACTACAACCTTTATTTAGGCCTTGACTTTCACTTAGGCCATGACCAAATAACTCTTAAGCAAGAGTCGTATTACGTACTTCGAAATCTTTGCAGAGAGAGCATGTCCGATCGATAGTACCTCAAAAGTTGTGAAATGTAGACACCAAAGGCTGGCGTTCCGGGTTTCAATAGTTACCAAGAAACCCATGGTTGTCGTTAGAGGCGATTGAGTAGATCGGATAGTCAGACTCGCTGATTTGGTACATAGCATTATATCCTGATTCAAGAGTGAGTGAGTGGGTGAGTGAGTTCGGTTGTACGCCGTTTTGGCAATATTCCAGCAATATCACAGCGGGGGACACCAGAAATTGGCTTCACACATTGTACACATGTCGGGATTCGAACCCGGGTCTTCGGCGTGACGAGCGAACGCTTTAACCACTAGGCTATCTGTCCACACACACACACACACACACACACACACACACACACACACACACACACACACACACACACACACACACACACACACACACACACACACACACACACACACATATACCACAATTCAAGAGATGGAAAAGTTTGAAACATCTTGTTCTTCAATGCAACACTGCCTGTGGCGCTTACATACAAACACACCGACATTACTCCGTAACCATGATACTCGTTAACCAGGACGTTAACCAGAAAATGGTAACAAATTAAACCGTTTATAGCTGCTAAGATGCGTTCCATTAGATATACAAAGTTTGTGACAGAGAACTTTTAGATTGAAAGGAATTAATAGATAAAAGACATTTCACATTTATCACAAGAGTATTCTGGACATTTCATATTCATCATTGGATTGGTACTATGTTATCGTCGATTAGTTAATGAAAAAAACAGAGAGGTAAGATACTTTTCATTTGTAGCATCCGGAGTTAGTCACAAAATCAATAGAGAGATGATCAATCTGGCACGTAGGTTTCGGTATTTTTCCGATTACGACACACATGAGTTCATGGACATATCTAACTTTTAACGAATGAAAATGAGGTATTGTGACATCTGACAAAGACAGGCCAGGCTCGAACACTGTAAAATGATACCTTCAACATTAGGAGAGGAGAGCGTGGTTTGCAGTAGATCGAGTCGAATCCCGATCGTTCTAAGTTTTCTCCATTAAGTGAACGAGTCTAGACGGTCTGATCCTTTCCTGTATTGATAGACGGACTGAGAGTAAGTAAAACTATGTGAGTATAAAGCTGTTGTTGTTTTTCTTTATTATGCGAGTATGAATGCTGATGGAGACAACTTGGAGTAAGCGTCGTTAGACGAATCACTCCTTGACTGAGCTGAACCGATGCTGACAAGGCGAGTTGCACAGTCATGGCTTAACTGACCATAGGTCGCACTTGACACCCAAACGCAGTTACGACAGTATAACCAATATGTCCCCGACCGCTATACAAGACAATTGAAAAAGAATTACCTAAAACATTAAGTTTCCAGGCGAAATATTAACGATATGTTATCAACTGACAGACGTGCTTATCATTTGTACAAATAATAGTATCAGAAAACAATTACAAAGCCTTCATCATCACACAATGATTACAGAAGACTAAACTCAAACCTCAAACCTTTGTCTGAAGGCCTATACAGTACAGATGTTATGGTTTAAGGAGAGTCTTTTTTCGAATTTAATTGCTTTTTGGAGTGACAGAAAATTCACATTTGCATTCTCCCTATATTTTCTTATGCGAATTCCGAGTAGAATTTGTCCCCAGCAACCTATGCTGGTCGTATGAGGTCCAAATACACTCCGCGAGTTAAACTTATCGGTCCTATTTCTCGGCACACAACCATGGCACTTTGAGCGGTACGCTGTCCGATATTTTCTTTATAATATTCTCATTTGTTTCATCTGATGAAAAGTTTTTGTTTGTTGATGAAAAGAAAACACTCAAGGTCGTTAACTTTCTGTTTAATTAATCATAAACAAAAAGAATCTGGATCGTTACATAATCTGTTGGAAAAGATCGGACACGATCATCTGTGGGAAACAATCGGACACGATCATCTGTGGGAAACAATCGGACACGATAATGTCCACAGGGGTAAACACCACATGCAGCGTGAGCCCGTAATACAATTACAATCCTTTTGTCACATCTTACTTGATTTTCTAGAATTATTCACATAGATATTTCATTTTTTGAAAAATTAATGTCGTATTTACCAAGTTTTTATATGATTTCAAATAGTAAACTTTAGATTTACCATCCCGCTGTGTTTGGTGATAACAAAATATGAATTCAGATGTTACATAAGAGATCTTATGGTTTGGTTTGGTTTGGTTTGGTTTGTTGTTTAACGCCGCACTCAGCAATATTCCAGGTATATGACGGCGGTCTGTAAATAATCGAGTCTGGACCAGACAATCAAGTGATTGACAACATGAGCATCGATCCACGCAATGGGGACCGATGACATGCATCAACCAAGTCAGCGAGCCTGACCATCCGATCCCGTTAGTCGCCTTTTACGGCAAGTATGGGTTGCTGAAGACCTATTCTATCCCGGACCTTCACGGGCCAGAGATCTTATGGAAAAGAAGTGGGACACCAAGTAGTATAAATAAATTACACGAAATTAAACCAACTATCGGTTACACCTGCTATGGTTGCCAGTCCAGATTTGAAGATGTCATTATACGACGATGTCTTGTTGGCCACAGCACGTATACACATGAATAGTTAGTGAAAGGTGAGCATCCTCCGTTTTGTATCCCTTGTGATGAGAGAATCACGGTCATGCATGTCCTGCTTGACTGTACTGGTCGTTCCACCACAAGGGATAAATATTACAAATCATCATCTATTAAGGATCTTTTTAATAACTTAAGTGTTCATTTAATCATCAGTTTTAAAACCAAAAATTGAACGTATTGATACATTTTGATGTACATGGTTGTTTCTGAAATTGGTAGTGTGGTAACTGAGATTGTTTGTGGCTGTGCCCTCGACGGGGGTTGAAGTACTGTAAGATTATTGTCCCCCTGAGAGGGTATCGTAAGTCCATGACATTCAAAGTATGTTATTTATTCCATAGATTTAATCGTGGAATATCTAACTTTTTAATTTCGGTTAAATTTGTCAATAATCACGTGAAGGGATGCTATAAATCCTGCTGGGGCCCGTGCAGGTAGCGAAGTAAGTGCATATACATTTCGAAATTGAACGGCTTGACGCTGAAATAATTAATTAAAGCGACAAAACCCTTTCCATACCAAACAGAATAGTACGATTCCGACTATATCATGAGCATGAATTATGAATCACTATCAAATAGTGGTGATGCCAGGTTGTCGCGAATACACTAACACTAAATGCGTTTATTGAAATCCGCTCAACCTTATTCTTTTGTTATTTGTTTTATTGATTATTTAGAACATTCAGACATTAACTTCCGCTATTTACAAAGAAGACGCTTAACACATGTCGACACAAGCTCACAACCCCAGTCAATCCCTATTGCGTACTAAATTATAGTCATTTGATCACATCTGGATACAAACTATAGCCTGCCACCAATGTTCTGCCTTTGTAAAACGTGAATAATTATGGTCACACCCAAATGTGACAGCAGATTTATTCCCTTCAATCGATCTCCAGGATATTACTTTTTCAAAAAGGTTTAACATGCTTTGGAGAGTATTAATGGTATGAGAAGACTGGATTTGCAAACCGTCATATTGCCGATATCTCGATAAGTCCATTACAACATGTCGAAGAATGTCTTATATAGTTATTATTATTCAATCGCTTCCGTGGACTAGTGGATAGGGCATCTGTCGGGAGAGCGGGAGGTCGGTGTTTTCGGCCCCTGGCCGTGTCATACCACACGACGTTAAAGATTCAATATATTGTAATTTTATTTCTGATCATGTAAATGGCATCATATTGATTGAGGAGCTTGTAAAATATCGGTTGATTAGCTGTATCGGTGTTGGCTGTAAATAATGGAATCAGATCAGGTAAGTTTGGGCTTGTTTACTGTTTAACGCCGCACTCACCACTATTCCAGCTATATGACGGCGGTCTGTAAATAATCGAGTCTGGACCAGATAATCCAGTGATTGATAGCATGAGCATCGATGCACGCAATTTGGATTGATGACATGCATCAACCAAGTCAGCGAGCCTGACCATCCGATCCCGTTAGTTGCCTCTTACGACAAGCAAAGTCGCCTTTTACGGCAAGCATGGGATGCTGAAAACCTCTTTAGGATCTTCAAGGTAAGTTTTGGAGTAAGATAGAACCAAAAGGTGTACCCACACGGTTCGTACAAGCCTAACTACCAGAACCACTAGTACCGCTATACTGTATTGTGTTTGGTAGGTCGAGTCCTGCGAATCAGGTATTTTTGTTAGAAGTAGAGCAACAGTGAAAAGTTGGACTTGCGACGGGGTGAGGTGAGGTGAAATGGGGTTTAACGTCGCGCCCAATAGTATTGCACATAGCGATGTGCATGCTCGTGTGTGTGTGTGTGAGTGTGAGTGCTTGTGCGTGTGCGTGTGCGTGTGCGTGTGCGTGTGCGTGCGTGCGTGCGTGCGTGCGAGTGTGTGTGTGTGTGTGTGCTAGTCCGGACTGATGCCGATTTATAGTGCTTGCCCACTGAGATACCATGGCGCAGTTTAACATGGATACCCCACTCAGACACAGTACACTGACTCCGAGCCCACCAGTCCTTGTTTTTGCCCCTTAA